GAGGGAAGGGTTAACCCATTGGAGTTTTTATTTTTTTTTTTTAAAATTTTTTTTAAAAAATTTTTTAAAAAAAAAAAAAAAAAAAAAAAAAAAAAAGATGACTTTTAAACTTTTCCACATTTTGTTTTGTTACAACCACAAACTTTAATGTATTTATTAAAAATGTAAACATTTTTGGCTCTCAAAATTTTTTACTAAGAAAATATGAAAAGTGTGGTATTTGTATGTTTTCAGCCTTCTTGAGTAAATACTATCTATATAATAATACTATCTTTCTCTACGTGTGAAGCTCCAAATATTTTGAGGCATATTTCTACAAGCTTTGCACAGCAAGAGATCAAATTGTTTGTCTTGCAAAATAGGGTACGCTCAGTTAAAATAGATGGAGAACAATTGTAGTTGTCAGGTTTTTATATGGGTTCGAACTTTGACTGGGCCATTCAAACATTCTGTTTTTTTCGGGATGTCATGTACTTAGTTCTTTTCATTTTCCCATCAACTCTTGCTAACTTCCCCTATTCCTGCTGAAGTAAAACATTAACACATCATGATGCTGCCACCACCATGTTTCAGTGTGAGGGTGATTTGTTGTGCACTTTTAGTTTTCTGCCACGCGCTTTTGTATATAGATCAAAACACTTCAAGGCATTGAAGTTTGTGGTTGAAGCATGAGAGAATGTAAAAGAGGTCTTGCACTCTGTGAATGTTCTGTGTTCAGTGTGGTACGGACATCTTTTCATATAAATCTTATGCTTCTCCCTCGATCCGGCATGTTTGCGCTCATTGCTTGTGTGAGCAGTGTAAATATTCAGAGTAGTATGTGATTGGCTCCCAGCAGTGTGTGCCCGGCATGGATCGATTCGGCCCCGCTGGCTGCCCAGGGGTCAATTCTCCCAGAGGCATCCTCTCCTCGCACAACCACATGAGCCCTGAGAGCGTCCGGCTGATGCACAGACACAGGTCAGTCACCCAAACGTTCATCCTTTAATTTGTGCCGCACCGCTAATTTTAATCCGGGATCGACACTTACAGGCATGGTCGGGCTTTTTGAAATTGTTTCTATCTACCCATTTTCTAAGCTATTAATCTAAGAATTGATCCGAGAAGAAAGAACGTTTACAAGTATTTTGCCACTTCAACTCGGTTACATGTTGAAGGGATTGGTTCAACTATAAATGATTGTTAATACACGCCAAAGGCAAGTATTAGCAAAATTTGTAGTGTAGAAAAAAATACCAAGTTGGAGCCTCATCAGGGAATAATAGCCAAATAGTTTTTAGTCTTGGTTATTGTTTGTAAATACCTGCCTATTAAGGCTAAGATTCAACAAAATATAAGATTTCATTACCACAAATAATTCAACCTTCCAAAGGAGGCCAAATTAACATTGATCTAATTGTGAGTCTGGGATTAATAGTTTTTGTACCTAAATTTTTCAGGCTTTTATAAATCAATGAATTCAATGAAGCTTAGGATGTTGGGGACCTCCGAAGAAAAGCAACATTTACAGTAAATTTCACTTTTATGATCTGAAACAACATGTTGGTCCTGCAGCCCTCTGAATTTGCAAGGCTCCATCCGACACTCGTCGTCCTCCCTGTCCTCTCACACGTCGAGCGAGGCAGGAAACCTGGTCATCATGACTGACGGCCTGATGGGGGAGCACCCAGAAGAGGCCATGCACATGCAGGTAAGACTAATTAATCTCACTGAGATTATGTGTGGAAGTACTCATATTTTCTCATCTGTCTCATAAACTGTCTGTTGTTTTCTCATTGTACAGGACAGTCTTTTTAATTTTTAGAACCTAACTTTTCTTTTCCAGCCGAGCCCGTCGTCTTCTAGTTTGAGTTCAATCCGCTCCAACTCCTCCCAGATTATAAACTCCGCTCCATCAAGTGCCAGAGGTGAGAGGCATAAATCCAGAAGGTCATGCGAGAAAATTATTCACTCACAGATCTGTTTACCAAACTTCTAATATTTCTTTAAATTGGTGACGTTTGTGGCATGAGTAGGATCTTGAATGAGTCAGTTTAACACGCACACACACACATGCACACACACACCCTGGATAGAGCAGATTTCGTTAAAAAAAAACAGATCTGTTTGATGTTAGACTTAGATAAATTAATTTCATTCAACCAAGAATTTTGTTTCTGATGAGACATGTACCTCTCTACTAATAATTGCTGTAGGAATATCAATTAAAATTTCAATTTCATTAAAATCACATGTTGAAAATGATCTGTACCTTCATTAATCAGTAGAAAAGTCTTTCATTACATCAAAGCTGTCTAACTTTTTGCATGTTCCTATTGCACAGTGAGGCATATTGATCACATTAAAAAATGCCCACTGCTTTTAAATATACAAAATAGATTTAATCCATATGTTTATAACTCATTAATACTGTGGAACAACAGGATAATTGTGCTTTCTGTTTTAGTAGAGAGATGTTAGTTAACACTTTAAAAAAAAAGTAATAATAATTTTCTGTGTAGGCTCTCCGTCTCTGCCCGATAAGTCCAAACACAACCGAGAAGTGATGATGCTTCTGCCGTCTCACCGTGAGAGGGCCAACAACTCCATGTATTACAACGTGGCAGAGAACGGACAGGTATGGACGATCGACGCTACCCTGAACAATGCAATGCGTTACAGCACTGCCTGTGAGATTCTCCTGACTTTCTGATGAAAAAAAGGGGAAAATTATTGTTTTTCCTCTCTTTTAATTTCTCACCTCAGCAGCAGAATAACCACATGCAGCGTGCCTTACTTCAGCAAGTTAGCCCCTGTAAGCCTTGTGCTGATCCTCACATGAATCTCCCAGAGAAAGGTAAGTCAAACAAAGCGAAATCTTACAGCATAGCTGAGTTGTTGGTGGCGTGTGTTTTTTCTCTCACGTGAGGCCTTGATCTGGTTCTTCCTCCAGTGTTTTCCAATGCTTCCAGCAACTGGAGTCTGGATGGAGAGAACCGGGAGCAGATGAACTACGTCCCGGCTTCTACCGGAGGAGTGATCATGCCCCCTGTTCCTCCCAGATCCTTCCCATCAGGTAGCGTCTCACTGCATCTCAGAATTTAGTTTTTAACATCTCATCTTCAGTTGTGATTGAATATTCCGTCTGCTACGATTGCCGCAAATACAGAACTCATTGACTTTAGAAATGCTCATAAAAAGGATGCTTTTCTTCACATCGACGCCAATTCTTCCTAAATTCATATCTGTTTTTATTTCCAGGACATTTCATGATGCACTGTGATGCATTTCACCACCAAAGCACGGATCCTCCTCCGGCTTTGCCAGTTCGATCTCTCCGAAAGGTACCGGCGACTTTTGCTTCGGAATTTAAATACATCCAGTAAATAGGACACGCTGGTGGTTGAACATTATTGCAGTAGACGGTCCTTGGAGGCTGGAGTCATAATTCAGACGTGTTCCTGCATTAACACCGCTGATACTTGAATTATCTTCTAATCTCTTCAACAAGTTCTGTGGGAGTCTCTTTTATATCAGATGTTTCCTACTTGGGGAACATCTGATATAAATACCCAGAAAAGAAAGTAAGAAATGTTTAAAAATTAAAGAATTTGTTTTAGAGATTTTTTATTGTTTTATTTGACATTAGTTTATGTTTTAAATTGTAATTTTTATTCAAAGATATATATTTTCAGGTTTTTTTTCATTCTTTTTCTTATAATTTTTTTTTTTTTTTACATTTCACCTGCTCCATGGTGTGTTTGTCTGGCCCTTCGACTTATTTGATTGAAAGAAGACTGTCTAATGCAAAATGCAGAGAAGGAAAAATTTATAGATTTGTCTCTGGAAAAGTCTCGAAGTCATAAACTGCTAATAATTTTTGCTGTGCAGAACCTCACTCCTGACAGCTGCTGCCTTTTTGTCTCCCCAGTCTCCTCTCCACCCTATCCCCGGCTCCCCCACTAGCCCTCAGTCAGCTTTAGGTGGAAGTAACTCCACACTGTCAGGCAGCGCCAGCAGCGGCGTTTCGTCTCTCAGCGAGAGCAACTTCGGCGGCCAGTATCCCGATCCTGGTCCCATCAGGAACGACGCCTTGGAACCGCTTCCCAGCCATCTGTGGTCCCCCCCTGATGAGTACATGCCTTCTCCCTACCTGCACATCCACTACGGTGGCACAGAAATTGACTCCATTGACCCCGTTCGACCTTTCCATTACCGCAACCCGGCTTCACACCCACACGGCCACCCACACCCGCACAGTCACCCGCACTCCCACCCTGGGCTTGAGAGCCACTCCCACGGCCCCTCCCAGCACCACCACGTTCCCCCTCACGTTCCCCATCACATCCCCTACCGCAGGCCTCAGCCTCCAGCCGTGCCGCCCAAACCCTACCTGAGAGAGGGCTGCATCCCCGAGGAGGAGCTGACGCCTCAGCCCATCCCCCTTCCCCGCAGGATCTTCCACTCCCCCCACGGCCACAGGGAGGACCCAGGAAAACATCCTTGGGAGCAGTGCATCAGCGAGGAGCACGAGGAGAACCAATGAGGGGGCGGCTCCAATCAGAGCGATCTTGTCTTTATCTCTTCATCTGCACTGAGCCATGACAAGCAGTACCAGAGCGTCTCGTGTGAAGCATGTGTGTGTTCCGGGTCGATCCCCCATCACCGTGTATTTTATCGCCAGTGCACATGAAGGGATGAGAAGGAGTGAAACTCCACCGAGCTGCAGCCCGAGGCACAAACTACCTTCGCCGCTCCACAGGGCCTCCTAGGCGGGATTCAAAGAAGAATCTGCAGAACAATAACACAAAAAGTACTCTGTTCAAAAATTGATATTGATTGTACACAGCTGTACAATTCGTCTGTGAGCATGTTTTTTCATTTGACAATTATATGATTCAACGGTTTTTGTGGAACATCGCAACCAACACGGTGCAGTATTAGCTCTGAGCGACCTTAATTTTGCTTTTCATGTCTGTTTTCACAGCAAACAAACTATTACTCACAGTGGATCGACTTCTCTTGTTTAAACGCTTCATATATACGAATAATTATTTTGATAAATTTGCTACATTGTAGTGTTTTCGAAGGCTTAAACACATTGCTTTTGTTTTTTCAGACAACACTGTTAAGTGCTCCTTAATAGTGAATCATATCAGATGGCGCGCCGCTACGTGTGTTGCTACTGGACTCCCATAAATCTCAGCTCATTGAAACCGAGCCTGCGGCTCTCTGTTTGGACATGAGCTACCGATCTCCCATCCGTACCACGTGTATGGACAACTACGTGAATGTATTCAGATGAGATGTTCTTCTTGTAAACCGCACAAGCTGCAAATCCCAGTTTTCTGTTCAAGTGCTTCGAGTCCAGTTCTTATCTTAAGTCTTCGTTAGTTCGTTAGTCCTATGTGCGTGGCAAAGATATCTAGAGATGAACGAGGGACTGCTGGGAAAACGGAGGACAGAGGCAAACTCGCCTCGCGCCTGTCGGCTTTCATGTTCATGGCGAATACAGGAGGAAGACTCCTCTTCTCCCCCCCTCCCCCCGACACTCGTCTCTCCTGGACTCCAGTCACTAACTTCCCTCTCCACGTTTTTCCTTCTTTCCTTCTTTTTGCCGTCAGGTCAGCGGTGAGGTTTGAACCCGCACAGCTGCTGTGGCACCATCGGGTCTCTCCTGATGGTGTTGGAATCGCCTACCTGCCTTAAGTGCACTCTAATGCAGTCTGACCTCTCACCGTTTAGCGGCAGCCTTTTTTTTTTTTTTTTCACTCTGTCCTCTCCCTGAAGGAGAAAATACACAAGCAGATATCGACCTAGTGATGTTTTTCTATGGTTTTGTTCTGCTTTGGTTTCAGATTGCTGTCTGTTTTGTTGTGCTGATACTTCTGACCTGCCTGAAGCTCTTTCTCATTCACCTTCTGCTGTTTGACTCTGATGATGGAGAAGGCTCAAGATCAACAAGGTGGAGAGCAATGCTCCTTTTTTTTTTTTTTTTTTTTTTTTTTTTTTTTTTTTTTTTTTGGAGGGGGGGAAACCGGGGT